AAAAAGGTTATTTAGCTGTCCAGGTGTAACTGGATTTAAATCCAGTTTACACCTGGTTTAGGTCATTAACAGCCACCCAGGAATTCTAAATGAGAGGAATTAGAATTGGTTGAACCCTACTGAACTGAATTTTGAGGTCCCCTGAAAGACAGTCACTCTACAGTGTAGATAATGCATACTGAAAGTCAGGACCCCTAGCTTCCAGCACTTACTCTGCTCCTTACTGTGACCTTGAACAGTTATCTAACCTTGCCGGAAGCAATGGCCTCATATCTGGGTGATGTCTTAGGTTCTTTCTTGCTATTTAGTTCCAAGCTCTATTCACTCCATCTGGACAAGAGGTTAAGTAAATGTTCTCAGGAATATGAATTTAATATGATTATATTCAATCAATATTCTGTAGCAATTACCTTGTACTTGTGCTCTTAAGGCACTTACAGCCTAGTAGGGGAAATAAGAAGTGCAAGCAAATAATCAGAACTAGCATATATGGTTTGTTATATGACAGGCGCTGTTCTATAGGCTTTACATACATTCACTACTTCAATCCTCATTACTACCCACTGAGGTAGGTTCTATTATTGTTCTCATTTTACAGACAAGAAAATTGAGCCACAGAAAAGGTTAAGTAACTTGCCCAACAAGAGTTTGTATTCAAATTCTTAGTCTGGCTCCAGAATCTGTACTCTTCACCGCTGCTCTATACTGCCTCTAAGCAGAATGCAGTAATTCTACACACATACACATACACAGGCATTAATTACAGTGTTATGGGAACACAGGGAGAAAGGTGTAACTTCTTGGGGGATTATACAAGATTGATGAATGAGGAGGTATGTGACTAGAACCTTGAGGCTGAAAGGATTCGGCAGACATGAAGAAAGGCTTTTCAAGACAGAGCAAGGATATTAGCCATGTAAAAGAAAAAGGCAAATAAGATGGTTGCCAAAAGCCTTTATCAACAATTAGTACCCGTTGTGAGACCTAGATTAAGGACAAAGTTGGTTGGCAATGAGGAAAGAGGCTTGATAACATCCCAAGGTGCAGCAAATTTTCCAAGATTTGAGAGGCTGTTAATGCTACCCAAGGGTGATGGGGATGGAGAGATGGGAATGTTTAAAAGAGAAGGACTGAGACTTTCAGCAAGACATTTGAATGATCAAATTCAGTTTTAGTGACCAAAATCTTTCTGGTTTCTAGTGATATTAATAAAATCAATGATGCCATAGCTGACCAAATGGCCCTTTTCATTCAGCGCATGACCTCGACCATCTGTGGGTTCCTGTTGGGATTTTTCAGTGGTTGGAAATTGACCTTGGTTATTATTTCTGTCAGCCCTCTCATTGGGATTGGAGCAGCCACCATTGGTCTGGTAAGAATGTCTTTTTGCATCTCTCCATGGGAAGACATTTGCCCTCATAAACAACCAAAAATGTGAAGCTTGAGTCCATTTTTCTGAGTATAGTCAGCAACATAATTATCACTATTTTCATGTAGTTTGTTAGATTACTCCCCAATGTCAAATGACATTTCATCAAATAGGGATTAATGATGTTTTCATAAGGTAAATATTGTTTTATTAACAGCAAGTACATTTATTGAGCATTCACTGTTTCTCTAGGCACTATTAGGAGCTTAATAGTCATTATCTCTAATCCTTACAACAATCTTATAAAGTGAGCACTAGCATCATTTTAAATATAAGAAACTAGGCTCAGAGAGGTAAGGGGATTTGTCTGGGACTGCACCGCAGGCACAGCAGGATTCAAGTCTAAGGGGTTCTGACTCCAAACCCCACTCACTCTCCAATATGTCTATTGTTCCCCATGTCCTGCCAAGCTCAGGCACTTCCCTGAAATGGCACAACAGACTCAGAGCATTAACAAGCACATAAGAAGGATTTCTGCAATCATAACTGTGTTCTCCATTTCATCTTATCTTTCAGATAACCTCTTTCAGAGAGAAGTGATTTGACCCATTCCAAGAGTTATCCCAGTCACTGTCTTGGTTCCCCAGGTATTGAGGCCTGGACAACATATAGGAATAGGAATTTTGGATCACATCAGCTAAAAACACTCCCAAGGACTGAGAAATTATTATTAGATCAGTCACATTAGATAGCACGTTATGGGATCAGGCATACTAAAAATTTGCTATAAATTAGAATAGAATTTAACTGAAAAACTCCATACATACTCACACATCATTGAGCAATAGGTACCAATTTCCTATTGCTCAATAGCAAAATATTCTCACAGTCCACTGACTAAATAACTCAGACATTTGCCAGATAATATAGAAAATGGTTTAAAGTGACAATAGCAAAGAGCTCACTCCATTTCACTAGGTCATCACAGGTTATGTGACTCAGGAAAAATCCATTTAACCCGTGAAAACCTCAGTTTCTTTGTCTTTAAAATAGGGATAATACCTCCCAAAAACATTATGATGATTCAGGGAATAATCCACGATATGCATTTAAGCAGTGTCAGGCACAGAATCAATTGCTAAAGACAGATGTATATGTTTTTCAATCCACTGTATCATTCAAGCTTTAAGCAGTCTTTCCTACTAACCACTTCCCAGCTATACTCCAGGGAACCCTCAACTTCCACAGAAGAGCTTCAGGGGTTTTGCAAACATTTTGTTCATTTTTTTTCCAAATAGACTAATCTCTTTCTTCAAACCTGTGATAAAGTAATATACACACTCACATGGATCATAGGCCACATTTCAACATGTTGGAGGTTAAAACATAGCCCAGTTCACTTGGTTTTAAACAGATCTAAGGCTTAGCTTCTCTAGTCATCTCAGTACCCATTTCCAACTTCTCATAAACATGTCACTGATTTGGAATGTTGTAGGTCTGCACATGTCTTGTCTTGCTTTCAAGTCTGTGTATGCTTGTTCTTATACAACAAACTTCTACAAGCAACTATAAAGCAAACTATACGAGCAACTTCACTAGGCTCAAATGTAAACTTTAATGTTAATAAAAACAGCCTCAAGCCTTGGTAACACAGTGAGATCCCATATCTACAAAAAAAAAAAAAACTTTCTAAATAGCCAGGCATGGTGGCATGTGCCTATAGTCTCAGATACCCAGGAGGCTGAGGCCAGTGAAATGCTTGAGTCCAGGAGTTTGAGGCTGCAGTGAGCTAACATCGTGCTGCTGCACTCCAGCCTGGGCAACAGAACAAGAACCTGGCTCTTTTTAAAAAAAAAAAAAAAAAAAAAAGCCTCACTTTCCTTACTGTTATATTTTTAATTCACATGTTTTATCAAATGTACATTGATGAAATAAATATATTGTTTTTTAAAACTACTATGAATACTTACTTAACTTACCTCTTAGAATTCCATCTAAGATTTTGATAAGAGTTTTGCTGCTAAAAGTTTGGAAAAACTACTGGAAGATAAACTCCCTTAATCTGGGTGTTATATATTTTTTTATATTTCTGAACTAGTTGATCTTCTGCAATATGTGTTTTTTCCTCTTCTTATTTATTTATCTGTGCCAGGGGTTTCTCTGGGGGTTCATTTTGACTAGGACTCAATCCAAGTCAATTTTAGAAAAAGTAATGTGTCTACTGTTAAGTACAGATGTCTTTTCATTTCCTTTTATAAAAATGAAAACTGCATAGTTGAGCGTCTCCAACTGAGTGAAAATGAACTTTCTTTTCTGGAATCATCTGGAATCATCTCTCAACATCATGCCTATACTCTATATGTTATATGCCATATATTATACCCAGTCATGATATCTGCATGTGTCTCTGGTGTTTGTCTATAAATTATGCAATGGCCATTGGCTAATAGCAATGAACTATGACATGGTCTAACTTAACACTTTATTAGTATAATGACGGAAACACTTTAGTCTCACAGAATGTCCTATTTGGAATTTATTCTGTGAGGAGGTTCTTACTTTTAGTAGGGTCATTTTGATATATCAACAAACAACCCTGGATGAAGCTTACCATAGACCAAATCTGGACCAGATTTCTTCCTCCTATCAGTGATGTTACAGTGAGAATCTGATATTGTATTAAACCATGCCACATGCTAAATGAATCTAAATGACAGACTGACTTACCTAATTTCTTGGACTTCACATTTTCTTTCCTTCTTTTTGATTTTTAGAGTGTGTCCAAGTTTACGGACTATGAACTGAAGGCCTATGCCAAAGCAGGGGTGGTGGCTGATGAAGTCATTTCATCAATGAGAACGGTGGCTGCTTTTGGTGGTGAGAAAAGAGAGGTTGAAAGGTTGGTTAATTGGGATCTGATTGTTTCCCTAATTTCATCAATCAGTGTAGTACCCTGAATCTCTCAGTCTGTGCAAAGTGGCAGACCAACCTTGGTCTACGGCCTCCAGAGGAAGTACTTGTTCAAGAGGGAGCTAAGCAGAGTAATTTAGGTTGGTCAAAGCACTATAAGAAGTCCCAAGCCTTTAGCAGTATGTTTTTAAAGATGTTGCACTTGGCAATTTTTAGAAAGCCAACTTAGAGTAGATATTTATTTCAAAATCTGATGGTATTTATGTACACATATTATACCTCATATCAGTCTATAATGCTGTTTGCTGTCATTAAAGAAAAGCCTACATGAGACATTACAACTGATGCCACAGAAGTACAAAGGATCATAAGAGACTACTAAAAACAAACGCCAACAAATTGGATGACCTAGAAGAAATGGATAAATCCCTAGAAAAATACAACCTACCAAGGTTGAATCATGGAAAAATAAAGAGAAATAAATATGAACATACCAATAATTAGTAAGGAGATTGCATCAGTAATAAAAAGTCTTCCATGAAAGAAAAGCCCAGAACCTGATAGCTTCACTGCTGAATTTTACCAGACATTTAAAGAAAAACTAGTACCAGTCCTCCTCAAATTCTTCCACAAAATTGAAGAGGAGGGAATACTTCACACTCATTTTACAAGGCCAATATTACCTTGATACCAAAGCCAGAAAAGGATACTACAAGACAATCAAAGGCCAATATCCATGATAAACATGGATGTGAAAATGCTCAACAAAAATACTAGTAAACCAAATTGAATAGCACATGAAAAGTATCATTCACCATGATCCTAGGATTTATCCCTAGGATGTAAGGATGGTTCAACATAGGCATGTCAATAAATGTAATATACCATATTAACAGAATGAAAGACAAAAACCATATGGTTATCTCAATAGATGCTGAAAAAGCATTTAACAAAATTCAACATCCTTTCCTGACAGAAACGCTCAACAAATTAGGTATAAAAAGAATGTACCTCAATACAATAAAGGTCACACATGACAAGCCCACAGCTAAATCATACTCAAGGGTGAGAATTTGAAAGCTTTTCCTACTAAGATAAGAACAAGACAAAAATCCCCATTCTTGCCATTTCTTATGCAACCACAAAAGACCTTGAATAGCAAAAGCAATTCTGAACAAGAAGAACAAAGCTGGTGGCATCATGTTACCTGATCTCAAAATCTACTAGAAAGTAGTAGATTATTATTAGATTATTTGATTATTTGATTACTATAGCAATCAAAACAGCATAGACTATCACAGAAACAGACACATAGACCAGTGAAAAAGAATGGAGAGCCCAGAAAGAAGTCCATGCATTTATAGTCAATTGATTTTCAATAAAGAGGCCAACAACACACCATGAGGGAAGGGCAGTCTCTTCAATAAACGATGCTAGGGAAACTGGATATCCACATGCAGAAGAATGAAATTTGATCCTTATCTCACATTATACGCAAACATCAACTCAAAATGGATTAAAGTCTTCAATGTAGGATGTAAAACTGAAAAACTACTAAAAGAAAGCATAGGGAAGAAGCTCTATGACATTGGTCTAGGCAATGATTTTTTGGCACAACCACAAAAGGGCAGGTAACAAAAGCAAAAATAGACAGATGGGATTACATCAAACTAAAAAGCTTCAGAAAGGAAACAATCAACAGAGTGAAGAGGCAATTTACAGAATGAGAGAAAATATTGGTAAACCATACATCTGATAAGGGATTAATATCCAATACATACAAGAAACACAAACAACTCAATGACAAGAAAACACCCTGATTAAAAAATGGTCAAAAGACCTGAATAGCCATTTCTCAAAAAAAAACATACAAATAGAAATATACAAAAAGAAACATACAACAGGTATGTGAAAAGATGTCACACATCACTAATCATCAAGGAAACACAAGTCAAAACCACAATGGGATATCATCTTATATCTGTAAGAATGGCCATTATAAAAAGAAGAAATATATCAAGTGTTGGCAAGTATATGGGGAAAATGAAACCCTGTTACACAGATCGCTTTTGGTGAGAAAGTAAATCAGTACAGCCAAAGAGTATGGAGATTCCTCAAAAAATGGAAAATAGAACTACCATATGATCCAGCATCCCCACTATTGGGTATATGTCCAAAGGAAATGAAATCAGTATGTCAAGAGATAGCTGTTCTCTTATGTTCACTGCAACATTATTCGTAATAGCCAAGATATGGAATCAGCCTAAGCACCCATCAACAGACAAGTGAATGAGGAAAATATGGTGTGTGTAAATTTACATGCCACGTTCAATAAAATACTATTCAGCCTTGAAAAAGAAGAAAATACTGTTATTTGCAGCAACATGATGAACCTGGAGGACATTACGTTAAGTGAAATAATGCAGGCACAGAAAAATACCCCATGATATCACTGACAGAGTTGAACTCACAGAAGCAGAGAGCAGAACTGTACCACGGGCCTTGAGGGGAAGGGGGCAGGTGAGAGGTAAGTGTTCTCACCACATACACACACACACAATATAAGTATGTGTGGTAATGCATTTGTTAATTATTTTGATTTAGCCATTCCACAATTTATACATACTTCAAACCATCATGTTGTATACCATAAATATATGTAACTTTTGTCAATTAAAAAATAATAAAGAAATGCCAGCATGATTCAAAATGCTATATCACACATTTTTATTGAACACCTTTTTAATTAAACACGTTTTATTCAGGTACCATGCTACATGTTCTTTATAAAGTCTGATAAGATTTCAATTTAGTCAAACAGACTGGGCACGGTGGCTCACACCTGTAATCCCAGCACTTTGGAAGGCCAAGGCAGGTGGGTTGCTTGAGGCCAGGAGTTTGAGACCAGCATGGGCAACCTGGCGAAACCTCATCTCTACAAAAAAATACAAAAATTAACCAGACATGGTGGTGTGCACCTGTAGTCGCAGCAACTCTGGAGGCTGAGGTGGGAGGATCACCTGATTCTGGGGAGGTTGAGGTTGCAGTGAGCTGTGATCATGCTACTGCACTCCAGCCTGGATGACAGAGTGAGACCCTGTCTCAAAAAACAAATTAGTGTTGATAAATTATAGATCACTATTCTAGAGGTTAACTCTCAATGAAAAGAAAAACCCAAATGGCCAAAATAATACTGTTGTCTAAAATGTAATTTTGTTTGTTCTTTAATTTATCTGGTATTTATTGAGTACTTACTATGTGCCATGCTTTGATTTTTATAAAATAACTACCAACTGAATAGTAAATCTTACTTTATGTGTTGTAGATTTGGTAAGATGGTGTTATTCTCAGTTGCTACCAAATCCACCAAGTAAAAAAGATTAATAGGATTTACAACCTCTTATTATCCTCTTTTCCCCACTTCTTTTGGTTTGTGGAGTGAGGTTCTTTATTTCTTGTAAAAAATTTCAGTAGCATATTTCTTCCACCATGAAAGACATTATCTTTTATTGTCAATAAAAGAGGCAGTGTAGTGTTTTAAAAATGGTAACAAACATAGGATAGACCTTCAGTTTGTGTCCTGCAAAAGGTTAAAAGTTCTCCATGAATTCAATTCTTGAGATGTAGGAAGGTGGTTTCAGAATGCCTGAGCTATATATGAGACAATGCCCATTGTTAATGGCTAGATCATAGAATTACTGAAACCTATTCCTTGCATTGGACTTCCACATAGTTTCAGTTATCCATGTCTCATGGCTGTGAACCTGACCCATATGTCACAACACAGCATCTCAGCCACAGGGAAGATGGGTGAGTTGTAGATGAGTTGGTGCAAACACTAGTTCCAAGCCTGGGGAGCTGGAAACAAAATAGTCTGGTCTGCTTATTTGGAACCAGTTGCATTATTTTCTGATAGGGACATGTCATGTGACTCAAGGAAACACTTCAAACACAAGTAATACTAGATCTCTCTTGTTCATACATTTATGTTGAAAATTCTTTTTCTCTTGGGGCCAAGCTTACCTCACTATGCAATCCAAGCAGCAATCAGGCAGCTTTGTTAAGTATCGTCCTTTCAACATGTTTCATTGTCAGGTTAAAACAAACTTGAAAAAACTACACAAAGGTTGTTGGAGATTTTTCTTCCTAAAGTTGCTGTGTTTGGGATGATTTTATGATCATTTTGTAAAACCACTGCATCATGGCCTGTCTTAAACATTATAACTTGAGCTGTTTCTGCTGAAATTGGCTCAAATGTTTTCTCTTCACAGGTATGAGAAAAATCTTGTGTTTGCCCAGCGTTGGGGAATTAGAAAAGGGATAGTGATGGGATTCTTTACGGGATTCGTGTGGTGTCTCATCTTTCTGTGTTATGCACTGGCCTTCTGGTATGGCTCCACACTTGTCCTGGATGAAGGAGAATATACACCAGGAACCCTCGTCCAGGTACCTTGACTTATTGACCAAGACATAACATTTCCTTCTGGTATCTCAGAAAAGTCCATGGATTCGATGTTTTGTTTATTATTTTGGTGTCCTCAGGAAAAAAGCATCAATGATTTTATGGAGTCTGTCTGCGGAAACTAGTAATACCTTAACAAAATTTTTTTTTTTATTTCCGTAAGTTTTTTTGGGAAACAGGTGGTATTTGGTTACATGAGTAAGTCCTTTAGTGGTGATTTGTGAGATTTTGGTTCTCCCATCGCCCAAGCAGTATACACTGAACCCAAGTTGTAGTCTTTTATCCTTCACTGCCTTCCTGTCCTTTTCCCCTGAGTCCCCAGAGTTCATTGTATCATTCTTATGCCTTTGCATCCTCATAGCTTAGCTTCCACTTATGAGTGAGAACATACACTGTTTGGTTTTCCATTCCTGAGTTACTTCACTTAGAATAACAGTCTCCAATCCCATCCAGGTTGCTGTGAATGCCATTAATTCATTCCTTTTCTGGCTGAGTAGTATTCTATCATATATACACATCTCACAGTTTCTTTACCCACTTGTTGATTGATGGGCATTTGGGCTAGTTCCACAGTTTTGCAATTGTAAATTGTGCTGCTATAAACATGTGTGTGCAAGTATCTCTTTTATATAATGACTTCTATTCCTCTGGGTAGATACCCAGGAGTGGGATTGCTGGATCAAATGGTAGTTCTGTATTCAGTTATTTAAGGAATTTCCATACTGTTTTCCATAGTTGTTGTACTAGTTTACATTCCCACCAGCAGTGCAGAGGTGTTCCTTTTCACCGCATCCATGCCAACATCTATTATGTTTTGATATTTTTAGTATAGCCATTCTTGCAAGAGGCATTGTGGTTTTGATTTGCATTTCCCTGATCATTAGTAATGTTGAGCATTTTTTCCATATGTTTGTTAGCCAGTTGTATATCTTCTTCTGAGAATTGTCTATTCATGTCCTTAGCCCACTTTTTGAGTTTGTTGCAGATTCTGGATATTAGTCCTTTGTCAGATGTGTAGATTGTGAAGATTTTCTCGTATCATGTGGGTTGTGTGTTTACTCGCTGACTGTTCTTTATGCTGTGAAAAAGCTCTTTAGTTTAAGTCTCACCTATTTATCTTTGTTTTATTGCATTTGCTTTTGGGTTCTTGGTCATGAAATCTTTGCCTAAGCTAAAGTCTAGAAGGGTTTTTCCAATGTTATCTTCTAGAAATTTTATAGAGAAACAAGTAATATTTATACATTTTATAGTAAAGAGATGCTAAACATTTGAATTGATGAAACCCACAATTTAATAATTTCAGATTAACTGAAGACTTTATAGCTATGAAATGATTTTCTGAGTCCAAAAGCAAATATACCATGAAAATGGAAAGTCAGTGATCTCTCAGCTAAAAATTAACAGCTCATATAACTGAGCTTTATGACAGGCCAAGATACGTACTAATAAAGGTATTTGTGAAACATAATGAGTTACTAAAATGCCAGGTCAATAACATCCTTAACTGAACAGGTATTACAAATGTACTTTATTGCTCACTTGTGCTAAAGTAGCTAATGCCTTTAATTTTCATTGTCCTTCCAGTTATTCATTCAATAAGTAATTATTCAGCATCTACTATGTGCCAGACACTTAGAAAATGCAGGGGATTCAACAGTGAGCAACAGAAATGTGGGGTTTTCTTTTTTGCCTTGATGGAATTTACAGTTTAATGGAGAAGACAAGCAGTAAATAAGTAACCATGTAAATGAATACAGACAAATAGAGACAAGGACAGAGAACCTTGACAGTGAATAGCAGGATAACCAGGTGTGACTGGGGTCAAGGAAGGCTTCTTATCCTGCTCCCTCTCCCAAGGCCTTTCCTCCTTAGCTTATGGCTCTCTCTTGTTGCAATTGGACTCTGATCATTGTTTGAATTCTCAGCTAAATGTCACTTTCCCAGTCAGGCCTTTTACGCTCACCCATCTTTTATTCTCTTTTGTGATTTGCTGTACTTTCTTTTCAAAGCACTTGTGTGACATTGAATATTTGCATTTATTTACACTTGTGCCCATCCCTTTCCACCCTCAGACAGTAAGATCTATGAGGTCAGGGAAACAAAAAATGAAATATTTGTTTCATTTGGCCTGCAAGTAGATGACGAGTAGTTTTATATCAAATTCTTAAGTAAAATTTTTAGCTCCAGATTCTGGGTAGAGCAAACAATGAAAAATATCAAAACCTTGTAAACCAGAAATTTGCTAGTTGAAAGCTTAAAATTCATAATCTACTGCTTTAGGATAAATACATTGCCTGGGAAAATTGAGTAGGATTTTGATTTGCAAATGGAAGTGATTATCAGAGGTCAAACCATAATCATTCCAAGCCACGGACTTTATTTCATTAAACATGATAGTACACAAAGAACAACCTTTTCAATTCAGTTTATCTTTGCAACATGAATGGCTGACATTTTTTGAACTTTGTTAAAGGAAATAAATATGATAATACAGGTTCATGTGTTTTGTAAACTTTAAAGAGATAGTATGGATGGGAAGTGTTACCAATTTTATAATTTAACCACTTCTTAACAACTTAGGTACATTTTTTGCAGATTGGAAAAGCCAATGAAGTATTGCAGGTCCAAATTGTAACTATAGTCCCTTGTCTTTATTAATCCAATTCCTCCTAAGAACTTTGACATTTACCAAACTAGAGATATCAGTAGTTGGCCTTAGTCCTAGCTGCTTATATATACTTACTATGCAAGAAGACAAGCATTGAGAAAACTTATTTTTCCCTTTTTCCATGCCTACAAGGAGAGGATAGAGGTACACAATAATAATGGTTCAGAGGGAAAAGTGAATTGGTAAATTGAAAATCAAATAATACACAATTCCAACTGGAAGCACTTGAATAAAAAGTCCTTTGGTAACCGTCTGTAGTAGGAATCCAATTTTATGGCTCTCATCTTTAAATTTTCTGCCCATTGTACAGTGAGCTACTTTAACTTTTGTAAATAATTTATTCTTTCAACTGATATTTCTTGAGTCCTTGCTATGTGCAGGCATGGCATACTATGGGTCTCTAACATTTTAATCACTAATTATTAACCTGTTACTCCCAACATCTTTCTGTAAGCGTCTGCTTATATCTTAAGAGAAAATTTCCTTTGGGAAGATGAAATGCATTCTTTAACACTATACTCCTTGTTCTCTCTCTCTCTCTCTCTCTGTCTCTGTGTGTGTCTGTGTGTGTGTGTGTATGTGTGTGTGTGTGTGTGTCTCTCTCTCTCTCTCTCTCTCTCTTTCAGTGAGGTCTTGGCCAAACTTCTGAGCAGCAAACTATGAAGGCTGAGTGTGCATGGGCTGAGTTGAGTGTTTTAATCCACAAAACTAATTAACGATTTGATTAATCTAGTACATTTTGTGATGCACAAAATCATCACTGGCTGCATGGTAATTGGGCATAAATAGTAAGTAGTTCACATAAGTGACTATAATTAGTATCACTTGTACACAGAGAAAAAATACACTCTGTAGTCTGGTAGGGAAAGACGAAGAGGACCTGAATGGTGCAGAAGGTTGTTCTTTCATGACCCTCTTGAGTTTTAGAATTCATTAATAAAAATAATCCCATAATGGAGAGTGACATTCATTCAGCATATATAAAGTGTCAAGCACTGAGTGATGTATTATGTAACAAAATTACTGCATGAAATGCTCTCAATCTCATTCTGTAATTGGTGTCATTATACTACCACTTAAAAATGAAATTGAGGCCATGAGGTCAAGAAATATGTGCCAAGTGACATTAAGAGGGATTTGAACTCAGGTCTCCCTGACTTTGGCGCCTATCTATTAACCACTGTTTTCCTGCCTCTGACTGTGTCTTCCCAGGGGCCACGGACCCCTTTTTCTCCAGCACACCCATAGCTTGATTGTTCCACAGCAGTCTCTCTTCCCATCTCTCTGTCTACACTACTTCTGCTGTTCACAGGGCTAAAGAATATGATGTTCAGAGTGACAAGTGATGGCTTATTGGGATGTTGCTAGCTACTGTGATGGTTTGGGAATGTGCTTTTGTCCCGTCTCACTCACTCCTCCCCCTCCAGAGAGCCATTCAAAGACTTGGACCCCAAACTTCAATTTAGGCCTCCAGTCAGCCAGGAGTCAGCAAACTATGGCTAACAGGCCACATCCAGCTCACCGCCTGTTTTTATAAATAACATTTTACTGGCACAGAGCCACGGTCATTTATTTACATATGTCTGTGGCTGCTTTTATACTACATGGCAGAGTTGAGTAATTACTTCAGAGCCCGTATGATTTGAAAAGCCTAAAACACTTATTTGGCCCTTTTGCAGAAAATGTTTGCTGGCCCTGGATCTAGGGCAAATGGAAGGTTCCTTTGCTGAGGTAGGAAAACCTCTGATGCGTGTGGTCTTAAACTAAATTAGACCATAAGAAGTGTTCTGTCTGTCCCTTTACCACCTCCTAAGTGTGGGACCTCAATACTTTCTTCACTGTCAGCATCATCATCACCAACATCATTACTACCATTGAAGTGGCTAGCACTGGATTAATCATCCTTACACACATTATCTCATTTGATCCTTGTAATAATCCTATGAAATGTATGCTATCATTATCCCTGTGTTGCAGATGAAGAAATGGGGGCTTAAAAGATTACATAATCTGCCTATGGGAGGAACCACATGCCATAATTGAGGAAAAGGAGATGAAGAGATAATTTTTGTCCCTATGCATAGGCTAGGACTCTAGGGAGAAAGCATGAGTGGGCTAACCCACCACCCACGTAGGGCAGCCCTGGCCCTGTTAATCATCCTAATGTGTGAATGAAGAGGTTACTGAAGAGGGAGAGACATGGCTGAGAGGCTCTGAGACTTTCCATGGTTCAGCCACTCCAGCCACAAGGAAGAAAGAGAAGCAGGAGAGACTCGGGCAATTTGCCCCAGTGTGATAGAACAAATGAGAAGGGTCTGGCCTATGGAAACCATCACAGACCAGGATCATTTGATTACCTGAAAAAGACTACATTCATGCAGGGCCACTCTTTGGCTTGGCAGTAGACTGTAGCCAATGAAACATCCTCTATGCGAGTCACAAGAATAGGACCATTCTTTGGCTGACAGGGTAGAGAGGAGACTGGTATTCCTTCTGGAGGCCAACTTGAGGATTTGCCTCATTGCCTCTTCCTCACCTTTATAAACAGTGCTGATATAAATAAAACAGAGTGCTATTTGGTAGGAACATCTGGGCATGATCAGGTAGCCTTCCCCTAAGGTAATGAGATGACTGCATTGGTAAGTCAAAGAACAGCTGCCCCAAGTCTGCACAGGAACCTGATCACTCCTCCTGCATGTAGCCAGCAACAGGTGAGTCTGGGAGCTAGGTCGACTGGTAGTCAAAAGCCTGGATTCAAATTCTGCTCTACTACTTATGACGTGTTGTAACCTAATGCAAATTAGGAGCCTCCGTATCTGTCTGTTCACTCTTCTGTTGTAAGGATAAAATGAAATAATACAGATAGAACACTTAGAAACATATCTGTTATTATTGTTATTATTGCTGTTATTCATAGTAGTTGCAGTAGTTATCCCAGTGACTACTATAATAGCAGCATTAGTATAGCGGTAACAGCAGTAGCAGGTTGGTTTTGCATGTACCAGCCTCTAGAATAGTCAGGCTGATCTTAGTGTCTGTATTGTTTTTGACAACCCTTTAACCAGAAAATCACTATAAGGTTGATTATATAATGAATTCAATGATCAAATCACTATTCAAGTCCACTTTGGGTCTACATGCTACCTTGCTTAGACTTCTTACTCATTTCAAAACAGTTCTACTTTGTAGAAGAGTAATATTCAGTAAAAAATAAAGTGGTCTTCTAAATCATAACAGTGGAAAAATTGGAAATACTTTACAGAACAAAAACTATTTTGGGTATTTCCAAACAGCCAAAGAGCTAGCTTTCGAACCCACAGAAGAGAATTTCTGATAACTCTCTGAGTTAACATGGATGACCCAAATGATAGTAATTACGATTTACACATTAACAAAAACACATGAAAAATCTCTCTCTCTTTTCATTTCAGATTTTCCTCAGTGTCATAGTAGGAGCTTTAAATCTTGGCAATGCCTCTCCTTGTTTGGAAGCCTTTGCAACTGGACGTGCAGCAGCCACCAGTATTTTTGAGACAATAGACAGAGTATGTAAAAGCCAAAAGTAAAGTCCATTAACAGGTGGGGGCTGGGGAGAGAGTACCCGTTAAGAATTTACCTTAATGTTAAAAATAGAAGCTATCACAAGGCCCTTAATTTAGCAACACTTATTATATTAAATGCTATCATGTGCTGGTGCCAATTCTTTTTTTTTTCGAGATGGAATTTCGCTCTTGTTGCCCAGGCTGGAGTGCAGTGGCACAATCTCAGCTCACTGCAACCTCCGCCTCCTGGGTTCAAGCGATTCTCCTGCCTCAAGGGAGTGAATGCAACAAGAGAACAAGTAAGAACCCTGTTCTTTACTCATGCTGGGAGAGGACAGGCAGTAAAGAAGTATGCACATTCAAAGATAAGACAATAGCAGAGAGTGGTAAGTAAAGGAAGGAAATGAAATAGGGCAATGTGACAGCGATTGGGGTGGGAGAAGGAGTCTTTAAATTAGTTGGTGGTGACAGCCAATGCTATCTCTGAGGAGGCAGCATTTGAGCAGAGAACTGAAGAGTCAGCCATGCAAAGGGGGATTCGAGGGGGTGGGGTACGAGAAGTAAGAACAGGGAGGGCATTCATGGAAGAGAGGCCCCCAGGTTGGGACAGGTTGCTGATTTAAAGAAGCTGAAACAAGCCCAGTGCAACTGAGTAGAGTGAACAAGGGGCAGAGGCTGGAGGCATGGGAAGGGCCATACCATGCAGGACTTTAAGGCCATATCCATAAAATTCGCTTATCTTCTAAATATGGCAAAAAGGGATTTTATTGGTTAGTCTATAGAAGCACACTGGAGGCCAAGCTAGGGAGTCAAAATCCAAGGACGCGCCAGGCATGGTGGCTCTTGCCTGTAATCCCAATACTTTGGGAGGCCAAGGTTTGTGGGTCGCCTGAGCCCAGGAGTTCAAGACCAGCCTGGGAAACATGGTGAAAACCTGTCTCTACTAAGAACACAAAAATTAGCCAGCCACAGTGGCATGTGCCTGTAGTCCCAGCTATTTAAGAGGTTGAGGTGGGAGGATTACCTGAGCCCAGGGTGGCTGAGGCTACAGTGAGCCATGATTGCGCCACTGCACTCCAGCCTGGGCAACAGAATGAGAACCTGTCTCAAAAAACAAACAAACAGAAAGCCAAGAACAGAAGGGGAAGTTGGTAATTTGTTGTTCTTTCTCTCTTAAAAAAAAAAAAAAAAAAAGCCCTGAGCTGAGTCCAAAGCAAGCCCTGGAAATCCAGAGGTGATTTGTGGGTTCACTGAACCTGTTTGGTTCCCTGTCCCCTGTTTGATACTTTTTCGCCAAACAGTGAAGTTGTAACCTACTAAGGAACTGACTCATTGCTTTATCTGTTTTTATAATTTGGGGTTTCATATACAAAGAGATTGTTGAAAACCACATAAAAATGTTCATGGTGGCTCACACCTGTAATCCCAGCACTTTGGGAGGCCAAGTCAGGAGGATGGCTTGAGTCCAGGAGTTTGAGACAAGCCTGGGCAACCCTGTCTCTACAAAAAATTTTAAAAGTAGCTGGGTGTCATGGCACATGCCTATAGTCCCAACTAGTCAGGAGGTTGATATGGGAGGATGGCCTAAGCCCAGGAATTTGAAGATGCAGTGAGCTATGATCACACCACTGCATTCTGGCCTGGGTGACAGAATGAAACCCTGTCTCTGAAAAAGAAAAAAAGTTGATGTCAATGTATTCAAATTCTACCTCTTTCTTAAGGTTGTTATATGCTCAAATAAGATGATGACTCTAAAAGTGCCCTGAAACTAAAAAATTAAGGCATTTAAAAATTGTTATCTTTATTAGCAACCCAATAAGAAGGCAGATTACATTATACTCCTAAATAGAGCTAAAGTGACTGATATGGTTTGGCTTTATGTCCCCACCCGAATCTTCTCTGGAACTGTAATCCCCATGTGTCGAGGGACAGACCTGGTGGGAAGTCATTGGATCATAAGAGCATTTTCCCCCACGCTGTTCTTGTGATAGTGAGGGAGTTCTCATGAGATCTGACGGTTTAAAAGTGGCAGTTTCCCCTACGTGCTTTGTCTCCTGCCACCACGTAATACGTGCTTTGCTTCCCCTTTGCCTTCAACTGTGGTTGTAAGTTTCCTGAGGCCTCCCCAGCCATTTGGAACTGTGAATCAATTAAAACTCTTTTCTTTCTAAATTACCCAGTCTCAGGTATTCTTTATAGCGGTGTGAAAATGGACTAATACAGTGATGAATTTCCGTCACCAGTTATGGACAAGGGAAGAAGATGATGCTGGAGTGTTCTGGTAGCAGGAGGAGGCCCTCACCTTGCTCTGATTAACCAGAGTGGTTAAATTCTAGATTGGGCTTGTTGCTTAGCAAAAGAGGTGAAATTCAGGACAAGAATTGAAAGTTGGTAGCATTTGAAGACATCATTTAGGAACACTCAGTTTTAATCATCATCTACCATGGATACTCAAAAGAATACCCTTGGACCCCAGATTGGTTGATTAGTTTCATGGTCCTAGAAACTTAATCTCTCTTCAATTTCTCTGCTTCTTCAACTGAAAAATGGGCATATCACCTGTCTCGTTTGGTCATGGTGACAATTATGTAAATAAAAGTATGAAAACACCTTGTACATTGCCTCCTGTATTATCTTAATAATATAGTAATATAAAATATATTATAATATTGTTAACATATACATTTATAATATTAATACAACATTAATACAATATAATATGTATTATTATATAATAGTACACATATAATATCTCAGTAATAAGTCAATAAATAATAGCAATTAAATACATTAATTAAATATGTATTATGTTAATATATAATATCTCAATAAGTAGTGATTATTCTCACTATTATTAATAAATGTTTAATGTATAAATATCTTTGGCATATCTCTGCAATGTTTTATCTGGTTGTTGCTCTAAGTAAATTCAAATTAAGATACATGCAAACTAAGAGGCACAATAAATATATACATCTTCATTTGAATTTACTCATAAAGCAGAGCAACAACCAGATTAAAACATTGCAGAGATATGCCAAAGATGTTTCTTAGTTTGAATTTACAATTTGAATTGAGTTGTGCATCTTAGTTTGAATTTACACTGTGTCCTTTTTGTATTTCACTCCAGAAACCCATCATTGACTGCATGTCAGAAGATGGTTACAAGTTGGATCGAATCAAGGGTGAAATTGAATTCCATAATGTGACCTTCCACTATCCTTCCAGACCAGAGGTCAAGGTGAGTGCTGGTCTTTTCCCCAGAACAATAGATGTTTTCTTCTTTGATGATTTATTTGCATAACCACAAATTGCTCATTTTCTGAAGCCTGACTCAGTTCCTAGGAATAGGGACTAGAGGTGTATTTCTCTGGAAGTATCCTCCAGTGTTGGCTCATCTCAGGCAACACACCACATTCCTTTGTGATAACCATAATGTGCAAATCCCCTGGTTGGGACACAGTCTGGCAGCACATTCAGGCTAAAAGAACCATAGGACACTCTGTTGAAATGAGTGGCAGGTCCTGTCTTTCTATGCATGTGCTAGATAAATGACAAGGCAGTTAGAACAATCAAGAAGCACAAGTTCCTCCCAACCTTCGTAGAGACTGCAGAAAGTGGAGGACACTGAGTATACGGTGTGGAGAGGCAAAGGAAAGCTGCCATTATGTAGGTTTTTACTTCCCATCTGTAAATTCACTAGGGCCACTGCATCAGCCTTTATAGGAAGGTATCCTTGTGATATTATGCTCTCGTGTCTTGTTCAGGGCACATGGTGAAAAAAAATTAATTTCCTACCTTTAAATTATCTTCAAAGGCAATTTACTCTACAGGAAAATTAGGATCTACTACCCCTGAATAAATTGGCTTTGAAATTAGACTTATTCCTCATTTTCAACAGAGTATCTCTAGCTACTCTCTCTTAATAATATTTCTGTTATCTACACAGAACTAAATCCCATTTTGTTAGCATAACTTCACTCTGACACTACATACCTATCATATATATATATATATAAAATTCTCTCTTTTAATATATGAATATATACAGAAAGAAGGTAAACATATACATAAAATGCAGGTCAATATTTATATAATATTTATAGTATATAATACATAAATATATGATATGTAAATATATATTTACCTATGTTTTATATTTATATATACATACCTACATTATCGGTATGTAGGTAAATATAAATATATCTATAAATATATATGACAAATGTACAAATATAGGTGTATATCTCTATTTACCTACATTATATACGTAAATATATAAAACATAAGTAAATATATATTCTGATTCCATACTTAAAGTATATTTTTATTATCTATTACATATCTACCTAAACATCAAATGTTATAATGTGTGTAAAGGTGCTTTGTAAGCTATAAATTACAAAGTAGTACACACTCAGTAAATATTTTTGAATGGATAGCTAAAACTTATATTAAGTTGGTGGAAAGTAATTATGGTTTTTGCCATTACTTTTAATAGCAAAATAAAATCTCCTTACTTAAACCTATATGTATTTATTCATAGTACAAGTATGTTTTTAACCCTCTGTGTGCCAGATTGTACTGGCCTGTAATAATAAACAAGCACATTTGATGCCTGCTTGCCCTGGGAGCTTACAGTCCAATACAGACTAATAAGTGAAAACGTATTTGCAAGTTTGACTCCTAGTGTGAAATGAAAGGTGGGAGATTTTGTGACACAGAGGACCCCAAGCCACACTTTCCATAATCAGTACAAAAATCACCTCTTAATTGGTGAAAATATTTGACGGATAGTTATGAATTAGCTTCTCATTCTTTCCTCGCAAGACCTACTAGCCAGCATTCAGTCTCTACCTAGCAAACACACTATGAATATTTATTAAGTAAGTTTATTCAAATGGTATGTTCATACACCATACACAGGAAGGGTGGCTTAAAATCTGCAAATTATCTTACTGTTAATCCATGATCAGTAAATTAGTACTATATTTCTAACTTAATGGTTTTTTTTCTTTAACTAATTGGCATAGTCTCCTTATCCTAGTATGTCAGGAATAATTTAAATTAGATTTTGGAACATAATTTCGAAAGTTAACATGTCTTATTTACTTCACCTGTGTTAATGTACATCATTTCTTTTCTTGGTCATGGCTTTCAGTGAAATAATTAAGTAATGTGCTAAATGCCAAAACCTCACCCTTGCCAATGTTTTCTTTTGCTGGTTATTGATGGATATCAGTGGACATTGCTTTGGGGCATACGTAAACACACACACAGACACCGAGTATCCACAAAAAGCATCTGCACTTGTAGCCCAAATGTTTGATTTGGTAAACAGTGACAATCTGAACTTTGCTCTTTTCTTTCTTCTCCAGATTCTAAATAACCTCAACATGGTCATTAAACCAGGGGAAATGACAGCTCTGGTAGGACCCAGTGGAGCTGGAAAAAGTACAGCACTGCAGCTCATTCAGCGACTCTATGATCCCTGTGAAGGAATGGTGAGTGTCTTCCAGAAACTCCTCAATACATGGGACGGTAAAGGGCAAATGGCAGCATATTGATCAAACAGAAAGGCGTGGCATACATTGAGACTGTGCTGGCATGCATAGTTAATGATTTGTTACTGAATTGATGGGACACGCTCCCTACATGGTACCAGTGTTCAATGAATAACCAGTCAATTCCATTCACTGTGTAATGTAACTGAATGTGCAGATACAGTCAGGTGTGGCATAACAACATTTCAATCAGTGATGGATTTCATATATGATGGTGGTTCCGTAAGATTATGATGGACCATATATAGAAATCTGACATATGTCACTTCATGGCATTGCAGATCAAGTTAAGAGAAATGATTGATTTTAGTAATGGTACTAGGACATTTGGAAATATATATATATACACCATCTAAATTTGTGTAACTACACTGTGATGTTCGCCAATGATGAAACCTCCTGAGGACTCATTTCTCAGAATGTATCCCCATCGCTTGACTATAAATAACTGTACATTTAAAATGCTATTGATGCCTTTTCAGTGAACTATCTATTCCACTTTTTTCTTTGTATTATAACAAAAATGTTATTGTGTCCTTAAGTTCTCCAAACACTAAATATAGGAACAATAACAGGACTTGAAATTAAGAGATAGCCGTCCTAAGAAACTAAGAAAAATGAGTATTAGTAATTGCCATTTATTTATCACATATTATGTGTCAGATACTTTATTAAAATAATTACTTATTGTCACAATGACCCCCAAAGGTACATAGGCCCATTTGACAAACAAGGAAGCAGAGAGTCAGAGAGATGGAGACTTGTCTAGGGTCATTCAGCATGTAAATGACTAAGTCAGGATTGAATCCAGGTGTGTTTGGTTCCAAAGCCCATGCTGTATTCACTCTGTCTCAAAATCATTCTTGTCAGCATCTCCTTGATGCCTTGAGACAGAATCGTTTAACTGTGTATTTAACGGCTTCAACAAAATGAGTTCTCTATCATGCATATAATATTACACAGGCATGGCAAATATAACAGAGTTTTCGTTTTTCACAGACATCTCATCTCTGATTGGGTAGTCTTCACTACATACTACCATAACTGCACTCTGGATATATAGAAATCATAGTTTCTTGATGTAAGATTTTTACATTTTTACTAATAGTGATTTTTATTTGCTCCCACTGATAGTTTCACTTGCTTTTTAACAGCAAACTGTTATTTGATGAATCTGGCCAGAAATAAGACTTACTATAATCCATATATACAAGATAGGGATCATTGTTTATTTTTACTGTATCTTTTGAGTCCATTTTCATCAAAACTCAAAAGATATAAAAATATTTAAAATATAGTGAATAACTACTCTTTACTGGAATCAAAAATTTGTCCATTCCTGGGCCAGTGGTGTTAAATTAACTGACCTTTATTTACATCATTTATGTTTCTACAATGAATTGTTCTGCAGCTATACTTGATTTCAATTATATATTATCATCCTTATATAAAGAACCACATTTCAAGAGGAATTGTTTCCATTAGAATCTTATTGGCCTCTATTTTTTCTGCCCATTGGTCAAGTATGACATAATATTATGATTCAGAACCCTGAAAGGTTCCAAAAGTTGTGATGTTGTGCCCATGCTCTCTAGGTGACCGTGGATGGCCATGACATTCGCTCTCTTAACATTCAGTGGCTTAGAGATCAGATTGGGATCGTGGAGCAAGAGCCAGTTCTGTTTTCTACCACCATTGCAGAAAATATTCGCTATGGCAGAGAAGATGCAACAATGGAAGACATAGTCCAAGCTGCCAAGGAGGCCAATGCCTACAACTTCATCATGGACCTGCCACAGGTACCCTAGCCGTACATTCCTGGGAGAAACCAAGATGTCATAGGAGGAAAAAAAGTAGCACAATTATACACATTTCTTTTCATATGATTCCCAAGTAATTAAATTCTTAAGCCATGTTTTAGCTTCATGTCTGAAAAAGTACCATGAGTTTTTCCTTTCATCTGAAAATACACTGTTTATATGTTCAAATCTATCAAAAAAGGAAGTTTTCTTTTGAAAAGCTCCCTTTGTTGGTAATATATTAAACATCTACCAAAATGGGGAACTATCTTTTTTAAAACTCCTTTGGCATAGATACAGTGTCCTTATTCCTTTTATTAAGCATTTGTCTAAGCAGATGCTAAACGTCATGTGGCAATAACTTGCACAGTAATCTCATGATGTCTACTCTTATAATTTTCTTGTGCTTAGGCAGCTAATATTGTGTCAAAAATTATTCTTTGTCTATCTCCATTCTAAGCAACAACAACTGCAAAAGCCAACTCTTTAGCATTACACTTAAATGGATTTCGCCACCGATGGTCTGCTAAGTCAAAGAAGAGTTATTGTAAAGAGTTAACATGTGTACGGTTCTTACTACACACCAGGCACTGTTCTAAGCACTTCCCTTCTATTAACTCATTAAATCCTCACAACAGCCCTGTTAAGCAGCTAATATTATTATCTCCATCTACAGATGGAAAACTGAGGTTCTAAGAGGTCAAAGAGCTTGCTCAAGATTATACAGCATGTAAGTGGAAAGACAAGGTTCATACTGAGGTGGTCTGCCTTCAAAGTCAGTGATCTTGAACACTTCCCTTTCAGCTTTCTAAATTCTCTTTATGAATAGGATTGCAGCTGTGGCTATGATACAGCCTAGTAGTTGAAGAGTTGAAGTTAGAATCAGACTGCCTTGATACAAATCCCAGCTTCTGTATTTATAGACTTCATGAACTTTCTCAAGTTACTTTAATTCTTTGGGCCCAGTGTTTCCTTATTCATCAGTTGCAAATAGCAGCCCTTGCCTCATAAGGTATCTATGAGAACTAAAAGAGATGTTATGTGTAAAAAGCTCAGCACCATGCTTTATTCACGGTAGGCGCTCAATTCGTGTTGGTTAGTAATAAGCAAGATAAGTGTCTGTTCGTTAATACCTAATTATTAGATTCCAATGTTGTGCTAGACCTGTGAGATAATCAGTAACCATCTTCTGTCAATGATAATCCTTATAAAGCTAGTTTGACCTTTTATTCATAATACAAAAGCAGCCTTTGCATTATGTTTTGCTGTGTCGTCGAACAAGAGAAAAGAGACAAGGACTTGCTCTGTGCTTTAATCCTCTAAGATAGATATTTAGGACCGTGACCAATTTTTATTTTGGTTGAAAAATCTTATTTGAAGTTGAACTAAAGAGGAACATTTACATAGCCCAGTAAACCCTGGAATAAAAGCATAAATCAATTTTTTTATTTCACACATAAATATTGATTAGACAATAACCTGTCTGGGGAAGGGAAATTTCTTTCAGTGGAAGTCGCAGCAGTGAAAATTCGTGCTTGAGAAGAAAGCCATAATAGAAAGGACATTGTAGTGGATCACTGTCAGAAGCCATCAAATTCTTTTCCCTTCATGACTGGTGTCACCTTCCATCTAGCAATTTGACACCCTTGTTGGAGAAGGAGGAGGCCAGATGAGTGGCGGCCAGAAACAAAGGGTAGCCATCGCCAGAGCCCTCATCCGAAATCCCAAGATTCTGCTATTGGACATGGCCACCTCAGCTCTGGACAATGAGAGTGAAGCCATGGTGCAAGAAGCACTGAGTAAGGTTTGTGGAAGTCTCAGTCCATTTGACAGGTTCATGTGGAAATGCTTGTGCTGCTGCAGGAAAGGCAGCTCCTTGTGGGGTGGGAGGGATGGGAGTAGTTGATACTACATGGGTTCATGCATCTAGTCTGATTGTTTAGAAAATATTAGCTGACTACAATCTTCCTCACAGTTGAACAGAAGAAAGTTATAATTTGTTTCCAAAAGCTACACATGTAAAAGTTTAAATCTTATGAAGATTAGCTTATGATATTTTTTAAATTACCTAAAAAAAAAATTTTAGCTGTTGATTAATGGCAGCAACAGGGCCAGTGTGTGTTGGGGTTTATGGCTGCAAGAAATTGTGCTGGCCTTTTCTAATGTCTGCACAGCCTGTTTAAGAATATTCCCAGGAACAAAGGATGTAACTTTCCTATGGATTCTGAAATGATCCGAAGGTCAGTGTCAGCTCTGTCTTACAGTTTTGTTTAATGGTGCACTGCACATTCTTACAGATTCAGCATGGGCACACAATTATTTCAGTGGCTCATCGCTTGTCTACGGTCAAAGCTGCAGATACTATCGTTGGTTTTGAACATGGCGCTGCAGTGGAAAGAGGCACCCATGAAGAATTATTGGAAAGGAAAGGTGTTTACTTCACTCTAGTGACTTTGCAAAGTCAGGGAAATCAAGCCCTTAATGAAGAGGACATAAAGGGCAAGTGCTTTTTCCCTATACTTGTACGTTATATTAAATAGTTAATGTCTATAGTGCTTTATGGTTTTCTATGTATTTCAATGCACACTGTTCTCCCAACAACCCTGGCAGGCATTATATAGATGGTAAAGGAAACAACGGAAGTTCAGGAAGCTAAGCTTTCTAATCAAGTTATAGCACTAAAACCAAGGTCTTCTAACTTTCAATTTTATCCCCTCTTTTTTTGTTGTTTAGCCTGTGCAAATGGAAGAGGCTTCCTAGAGTGTGTTCCGCACACAGTAGAAGCTTCATGCTTATTGGCTGAGTGAATTAATCAATGACAAGAAAGTGTAATACTTATCTTCAAATGTAGATAGATACTTCAGGTTCTAGTGCACGTTCTTTTTTATCAATCTGAATTTTCAGACTTGGTGGTTACCGCAGTCTAAATTAACCAACCACTCTAAACTTTCTCTACCATTTCACTCCATTAGGTGTAACTACTATATACATTTAACATATGAAGATTATTCTGAACAGACTTTTGAAAAGTTCAGTGTTTCTATCATTTTTTTTTTTTTGCTACTTCTGATGAACTTCTCTTAAACTTTTTATGATTTATGCTAAAAAATACCTATTTCTGTAGAGGTAATAAGCTATTGTATGGTTTAAATGACTCAGTCTTGCTGAGTATTTTGAAATTTTATGTTAGAATCTGCAGGACAAGTCCCGAGTTTTATTTATTGCCAAAAAGTTAACAGAATGTTTTGGCATTAGACATAGTAATTATATTCTAAGCAAACATAGTAAAGAATTCTACTTAGGTATGGTTCTGTTCATTATATGTACTAAAGAATTGCTCATGCTGTGTTGAGTAGGAAAAGATGCAACTGAAGATGACATGCTTGCGAGGACCTTTAGCAGAGGGAGCTACCAGGATAGTTTAAGGTAAGTTCAAGTCACGGGGCAGATTTCAAAGTTTCCAAATATTCTTAGGAGTCCTCTGTAGTCATAATCCTCAGAGAATATCTCAGGTACAACAAGGAAACTCTGAGTAGACTGCCAGGTCTTGTCAAATATAAACATGCAAATGATCCTTGGTTGCTCTGTTGACATTTCTGTCACCAATTCATGGTTTTTTTTGTTTAACTTCTCATCTTATTGGGGATAAGGGTTACAATGGAGATGCTTTATGGTTAAAATGTTGTGTATTGAGCTTAGAAAGGGGACTTCTTTTTTTTTAAAAAAAAATCGGTGTTTAGTGTTTCTCAGCTCCAAGCTAACTGTGGTATGAAACATTGTCTTATATGAAGGTCAAATTCATACCTTTAGCTCCATTCTTTAATCTACTGAGGGACAACTGAATTACAAACACTTCTGCTCCCAGAGTAACCCATCTGAAGTCAAATCATTCCTTAACAAGATGAAATAAGAAATGTAATTTTTTAGCATTTAAAAAGAATTTTCCTAAATAAGAGCTATTTATTTTTCTCTGGATCAATATAAAGCTGTTTACTTTCAAAATATATTTTTGGAGTATGCTATTAGTGAGGCTATACACTTTAGTCTTTCATCCTGGTTTAAGAGTTTCAATAAAACTGTTCCTCTAATGTTAAAAGTCTGTATTAAGAAGAATTCTGCCCAGGAGTGTTTGTCTATATTTATAACCGTTACTCAAGGTTTTTTTTTTTTTTTTTTCTTAAGTCAGAAGATTTTTAGTAGGCAATGAGATGGCAGCAATCTCTCTACAATTGCCCTTTCCATTTCTAGGACATTTAATGCAAGGCTGTGCAAAGTCTCAGAGATAGGACTTGCACATTCAAGATGGATAATTATTTATTGAAAAATCATTAAAAAGCCTTAAAATAAAACATTCAGCTAACAATTCCAAGTAGTTCAAACACAGATTTATTCATTTAAATATTCAAAGAATAGCTCACAAAAAGTAGTGTATTTATTTTCAGATGTAGATAAATACTTCAGGCCCTAGTATATCTTTTCCTTATCAATTTGAATTTTCAGACTTGGGTTTTCCTTTCTTGTTGAGAACAAGTTTATTCAAACAAATTTTAAGAAATGTTAGTTTGATTGAATTTATTGAATTTGGCAAACAACAAAGCAATAGCTTCACATTACTCTGTCATGTAAAAGGTATAAAACAATGTTATAGGCACCTGATAGTAAGTTTAGTCACGCTTTTCTGATTGGAATACTAAATTTAAATCATTGAAGTCATTATAATTACAACCGGAAAATATCAACTAACTTCTTAAACACAGAGAATGACAAGGCATCTCTTTCGGTCGGTAGGTTAAAGGTTGCAAAGTGGAGATGTTTCTTATGATCAGACCAACAAGAAAATAAATATTTTCTTAACTCTTCAGTTGAACAAAATTCTACCCATGCTAAGTAGTTTATTTGCAATTTATTATTAGGACTAGATAACCATTTAAATATGAACATTAATTTGACTATAATTTCTCACAAATGCTTCATTTTGGTGATTAGGATGAGAAATCCAGAAATACAATGTACACACAGAAAGTAGCTATTAACCTTCTGCAGAGAAAGATTTGTATATTTGAGTATGAAAGTCTGTTAAAATATCTCATTGTATATGCTGACAGATTTCTTTTGTCGTCGTTAAAAGATGACTAAATGAAGTGCTAATATGTATCTTGTTTCTTTGGTTCCAGTTTTATCTGATGGCTAAGTTCCTTTTCAGCAATATATTTTAGATTCAAGAACAATTTAATAGAAAACAGCCACAAATTTCCTAAATAATAATGTTGAGAAAGAGTATTCCCCCAAGTTAGTTGTTTTTATTTGCAGTGAGAAGTGGTACACAGCTTCAGAGAAGGGGAGGGACAGATGTTGTCAGTTTCTCAAAAGGGATGGTGTTTCTGGTAGATGAGAGAGGTAAACCTGCCTAGCACATGCACTGCCCATGGCCTCATGACAGCCTAGGCTAGACAGCACGAATGATCTGGAGAATGGTGAAAGAGAGATACTTAAGAAATATAAAGTAGATATCCAAGGGGTAAAGGATATAGGTCTTCCCATACTCAGAACTGGAAGGTAGTCAGTCATATGTTGATGGCCTCTCCTCCTCCACAAACTCCTACCCTGGAGTCCATTGCTGTGCGTTTGCTTTTTAGGTCCTTGACCTTAAGTCTCCTCCTATCATGCACCTTGTTCTCACCTGCTGACGTAAGCCTATTCTGCATACCTTCTGAGGAAGACATCCTGACCTCTGTTACCTAACTGGGAGAAATAACTTCATTGCTGTGGAGTTTCAGGCTAGGTGGGAGGGAGTCTCTGGAGGTGTCCCAGAAGCCGGTTTGGTGGCAGGAAGTAGCGTTGAGGAGTGTTTAATGCCTGGTCATAATGAGACTTGGCAAGAGTCTGAATGTGCAAGAGCAAGGAAGAGGGAGGGCTTGAGGTAATTGCATGGTGTTGAACCTGGGTGACTAAGAGGATGGCAGTGCTGTTAACATGAAATGGGAACAAATTGGAGTAACTCAGTTGATGTATTACTGCCTTCTCTAGAAGGCTGGGTGAGCATATAGTAGGCAGGCACCACCTTGGTATTTGTTTTGGTCTAATATCACTTGGATACAAAATGCTAGAGGAAGATATGTGAATGGATTCATCTACATGGCACTAAAACAGTTGATGCAGGTCTCCTCATCACTCACATCTCTCTCTTTACACCATTTACTTTAGGTGATTCTTTCTAAAACACAGTCTTCAGCATTGCCTCTTAGCCATTAAGACTGTTTACAAATGACTGAAAACCTAACCCAACCTGGCTTTACCTTTAGAGAGAAAGAATCAGCTCACATAACTAAATATTCCAAAGATGCTTTGGCTTCAGGCAAGGCTAGAGCTTCAGTGATACATCCAAGATAGATACCAGTTTCTCTCTCTTCCTTTCTCAGCTCGACTATTTCACCATTGGCTTCATTTTTCAGGAAACTTCTTTTTTTGAAGGTCTCAACATAATTGTCAACAACTCCCAGCATTAAATACTTTAAGGTTAACATAGAGGAGAAGGGGGGCCTCCTTCCCAGGAGTCTGGGGGAGGGAAGAGAAGGGTGGAGCCTGAATCAATCACTTCCCATGCTTATCATGTACTCAGTATATTCAACAAGCAAGCCTGTCCTCCCCTGTCTCCATGATTCTGTTTGTACTGTTCTCTCAATCAGAAATGCTCTTTTCTATAGTCTGCAAATCACCAAATCCTACCTGAGCCATCTCATCCATGAATCTTGCCTTGGTAACACCTGCCATACATTTCTTTTTCATTTGACTTTCCATACTCTTTATTCAAACCTGCCTAATAGCACTTACTACATTCTTCTTTACATCAGGGTGTGGTACAGGCCTCTTCTATAAGATTCAAACTTTTTGAAGGAGACATCTGTCATTGGCTAGTCTTTGTGTCCCTGACATCACTTGGCCTTGGTTTGTGTGTTGTAGATGCCCAATAAGCTTCTGTTGAATTAATGAATATATGAATGAACACATTGAGCTAAACTATATTTCAACAAGATACTCATTCATGCATCTCTAGGGGTAGTACATAGCCTGGAGAAAATCTCTTCAGAGGCCCTGTTTCCTCATATCATTTGTAACCATGCTAAAGTGAACACATCAGGTATGAGAGAGAGAGATCAAGACCACAATCTAAGCCAGAGGAAGGTAAAGGAAATGGACTGTTGCAAAGGCAGCAATTAGCAGAACCAGGGTTTAGAAAGTATTTGAGCCTTAGGTGGTTTTTTGATGAACTGGTAGGACAACTTTGCTCCGTTTCTCTTTCTCCCTCCCTGACTGCACTCTGAATCTGGGTCCAATGCTTGCAAGATATTAGGGCCCAGAGCAATCAACCTGATTAGCTCTACCATAAGAACAGCTCTGTCAAACCTAACCTGCAGGCTCCCTTTCCTGGTTACCATGTGACCTACCAAACATTTCTATTTATTTGACATATGAGATGTAAACTTGGACACCAGTTGATCTTGCTCCAATCTGGTCACAGTCTACACTGTTTTATCTTTCTGTTTGTTTACAGAGCTTCCATCCGGCAACGCTCCAAGTCTCAGCTTTCTTACCTGGTGCACGAACCTCCATTAGCTGTTGTAGATCATAAGTCTACTTATGAAGAAGACAGAAAGGTCAGGCACCAACTGCTCATGGGGGGAAATGGAAGAAGTCTCTCCTGGGGACTGTTGGGTGCCCTTTAAGCCTGAGAATATGAGTTTTCTAGGTATATACCTAGCAGTGTTTCAAGTCAGACTAAAAGACAGAACATTAAGACCTAATGAAAACTCTAAATTTTAGACAATATTTTTAGTGCAGATTAGTTAATTGATTACTTTTAAGAATACAAGGTAATGAAAACTGGACTTCTAAGGGTTAATTAAGAGTCTTAGACAAACTATTCTAACAAACACAGAATGTGTGAATTATAGGTACTTAGCAGATTATTTGCTCATATGTAGAAATCCTTTTGTAAAAGTTAAGAATACCTGAAAACTTTTTTTCTCAAATTTTAAAATTTCTTTCTTAAATTACAATAATTTTGGCAAAAATATCTTGATCAACAAAGGTATTTGAATAGGCTAGCCCTTATTACAAGTTATCAAAATATTTGAATTAATGGAGGCCAATTAGGTTTCACAGACATTTGTTGATTTCATACAATTTTATAATGGTTTTAAGATACATTTAAATTAATGCTATCAATTTTAACATAATTCAAAGTACCACAAAATTAAAGATCTAGGAGGGGAAACAACATGTATAGCAATATACAATTTCTTCCTAAAGATACAAGTGTTCTGCTCTTGTAGACATTGTCTAATTTTCACATAAAGAGCCCACCTATTCTCCTCCAAGCCTTTCTTCATTACTGCACGTTATGTTTCAGCCCTGATACTCTCACATTCATTCCCCTACCACCCTTCATTAGAAAATTTTCATGGCAATTTTCTTATTGAGCCTTAATCAAAGTCATGTTGACTTATCCCCTTTCTAAATTATAAGTCTCTTAAAGTTAGTGATACATCTTATTTGTGTCTGAATCAACTTGGTCACCTAACCCAGTGCCTTGCACTTAGTAAGGCATCAGGAGATTTTAAAAACTAGAATGAAAAATTGTCCACAGTAAAATAAAACCCCAACTGCAAGACTTATCAAAGCAAATAAGTCAGAGAATTTTTTAATTACAAGCACATCCATTATGCATGATGTAATTTCAAATTGTCTTAAATAAAATTCCAACACATGAATCCGCTAGGCAGTAATTACAAACATTGGTTCACAATGGACAAATCTGGAATAAAGTAGCATACTCTTTATGACCTTATGAAAATGACAAGGGAGTGATGGGTTTCTCTTTTGTTTTTAATGTATTAATATTGAATGAACAGGGGTCTCAATTTCTAACAGACGCTTTAAATAAATTCCATAGAACACGTTTTCTCAGGAGCAGCAGGATGAATCACAGTGAGAGAACACACATTTAGCAAGCATAGTTTCTTACTGCATCCTGCCACTAAAGACTCAACTGCTCTTCTAGTTCTAGAAATAGCTACTTCATTGAGTCCACGGTGCTGCCCCAAATAACTATAAGATGTATTATATAAGAACAGGAGTTTAATAGAGCTTCAGGGGAGAAAGAACCAAACACTACATTGACATTTCTATTGAACCACAGCAATACCAATCATATTTAATTTTTGCCTTTTAATTTTTTCTAGTTTCTGGGTAAATACTTGACAATAAAAGTAAAAGTAAAAGGATGGGAAGAAGGGAGGGAGGGAAGGAAAATCTGACTTTTTCATTGTTGTTTTTCAAGCTGGTAGAGGACCTAGCATAGGTGTAAGGGATCATCAGATTCCCTGGACATCTGGAGATCAGATTCCCATAGAGTTCTCTTGATGCAGGAACAATTCAGGAGGGAATTATTTAACTAAAAGGAAATCTAAATCAAATATATGGGCTAGTTTTACAGTGATTAAAATGTTTCATATTATGTTCTACTAGTCAGCATTATATATTTAGAATAGAACAATTAAACTCAATTATATGTAGACCAGCATACGTTTTAAAAGATGTGACTTTATTTTCTCTCTAGTTAAGGGAGATAGAAAGGAAGAAGAGAGAGAAAAATGATAGGGGAGCCAGTGTGATTATACTAAAGCTCCAATGGGAAAAGGTCTCATATTAATACCACTGGTTTGTACAATAATTTTATTAGTACTTCAGGTTTAAAAAATTAATGATTTTTGAAAAGAAAATAATGGAAAGGGGTTAATAAAATGTGACATGAAATTTCTAATCTCAAGTAACATTATAGGGTAAAATGTTGCTCTGTTTTGGTATTTTAAAGTATTTTAATACTTAACTAAATTCCACAAGCCCAAGCATTGGTGAAATCCTTTCTGTTTCTCATGTTGATGGAAAAGACCTAACCTTACCTTCTGGAGATTGGAAAATACTCTCTTATGGTGTTAAAGGTCAATTTACACAAAGGAGTTATCTCCACCTTGTGGTCTTGTGGAGTATTGACTCTAAAACTTAGAATCGTTTCCTGAGAAGTCTGTGCTTTCACCCAAGGTCTCATGGTTAGTTGGTGACAGAGATGAGACTATACCCATTTATCCTTGCTCTCCAAGCAGTACTCTTAGCTGTAAATGAGGTCAGATGTTAGTTACAATGTTGACAACATTAAGTTTAGGATTAGGGAAACCCACAGGCTAAAGGTTTTAGTCTCTAATATTTAGGCATCTCTTTCAGTGAAACTAAAACACAAGGCAGAATATGTATGAGATCAAGTCAGGATCAAATATTAGACACCCATAACTGCATCACAGATAACTTTTAAGATAGGATTTGGGCATTGGTTAAGATAAGACAGAGATGGGACCCATAAAAATGGCTATCAGTATTAGTTCATTTGAAAAATCTCTGCTCCTTTGTCATAGTTACCACTTTTTATCATCAAATCTTAAAGTTATTATTAGGGCAGGAGACCTCTATTGAATGGATTGCAGAAATTAGTGTAACAAAGTATAGAAAGCAGGACCTAAGATTTAAGTCAGAGGTTATTTTTTCCTCTGGCCTACACAGAGGATGTAAGAAAGGAAACTGAGAAAAGCCCAGTGTCTAGCATTGAACTATGAATCCATCATAGTAGATGAGCAATTTAAAATAAATCTCTTGTTGCATGTATGCAGCATGGACATAAAAATTTCATTCATTCTTTTATCCCATAAACATTGATTGTACACTATGAAGTGCCAGGTATCCCACTGGGGATGCAAAGATGAATAAGAGCTTTGTTACTCTCCCTGCTATGCAGCTGCTGACAGGCACTTCTTTATATATAATTTTTTTTTTTTTTTTTTTTTTTTTTTT